GTATCTGCTCAAGTATCTGCTTGCAGTTTTCATTTTTTGTTAAAGTACTTTGCATATTTTACTCATGAGGTAGGATACCTGGAGTAGTAAATACTTTCTTGTAATAAGCTTTATTTGCAGAGTTTGCTGGTAAGCAAGAACTATGTAATTTTTTTTTAAATTTTAAGAAAAACCCGACGCAATTTTTGGTTGCGTGTTTACTTAAAACTAATCCAAAATGTATCTTTAGTAAGCTTAGTAGAAGCATCCGCTTTGTTGTCTCGCAAAAAAATTACCTTAACTGACAGTGAAAATCGATTATGCCTTTTTCAGAGCAGACTTACTATCTTTCGGTCATTGCTTCGATTAGCGGTTTTTTATTATGGCCGCTAATCAAATATTTTCATCGAAACGAAAAAAAGATTTTTCTAAACGAAGATTTTTGCAAATAATAGAATTTTTTTGAATTTTTAATCGAATAAAATTTATTTTTACTTTAACACCAAGATATATGAAAAAATTTATCTGCGTGCCTAACTCTCCTCCTCTCAATACCACCCAAGAAAACAAATTACATTCCAGTACGTTTTTAACAACAATTTGGGGTGAATGACGGAATTCGAAGCAAAGGATAGGTAATCGCAGAAAAACTCGTTGTGCGTTCGTTGCCCATCGATCCCAAGCAACGCAGCCTGCACGACTGTACAGCACTTTCTAGCTAATAGTGCCTACAATTTCATTTTCCGCCTTCATACCTTCTTTATATCCACAGATTTGTTTTTCGAAGCAAAAAGCAATGTTATTATCAAAATTTTCCTTCATTCTGGCATTATATGCAAAATCTAGTTAAACTATGGTATTAATTTTGCGTATTTAAGAGTCTGCATAAGCTTACCAGTAAATAAGACGGATTTACCAGCAGACATACCGTACAGGTTTAGAAAACAAATTTCGAATTAGTATTCAACCGATCAGTCACGCCCATTTTGAGTAGAGTGACATATAGAAGCAAGTAAATGATCTAAATACTTCTTATTTCCGTCTCAGGTTGTTGGGCGGACAAGCAGCTTTTTGTTGCCGTAACGCTCGTATTACAACATCGATTTTCTGCAGTTAACTGCATAGAGAGAAATTCGGCAAAGTATGTAAGGAAGAATGCCAGCCTAAGTCCGCAGAGTTGATACAGATATAAGCATCAGAGATAAAATGGATGTAAGTGAACTAGAAAACGTATGGTGGTAAAGTAAAATAAAATATGTGAAATTAGGACGCTTCGATGTGAAGCTTATATAGAAAGGATACGCCCATATAACAGGGAAATTGTGCCCCATTAACGTCATAGATAAGAACTACGAGTAAAAAGCCAATGTCAACGGGCTCAAATCTCAAGTGCGGTAGCTATAATGGTGCTCGGTCGGTGAATGTATAACACGTTAGCGAGTGCACCACTTTCCTAGCTTTTTCCGCTCTTCACGAATTCGGAACATCCCCTGAGTGGTTGCTTAATTTAGGGCTGAATAAGAAACATGTTTGTAAATTGTCCTTAAGACTGTAAGATTCCTTAAGGAGGTTTAAGGTGGGTTACAGAAAGTGAGCCCATAATAGATTAGTTATTAGAAGTATTGCATAAGTGCTACGGAAAGTTTTTTCTTTATGGTAAATTAAGGAAATGCAATACTGGTTACTGGTCGCTTTCCAGCTTTCCAGCGAGAGTGAATCCAGTTTGTGCGCTAAAGAATACAATTATGATTAATTTCAGTTCAGCAGTCACTTAAAAAGCGTTTGGACTGACCAATGAAGGCTTTTTTTAACAGAGGCTTTTAAAGACAGAGCATAGACTTGGTTGAGGTACGCCACAAAGAAGAAAGTTAATTCTTTCTTTCATTTACCCATTACACACACCATTGCAGTAAATAAAGTAGGAATGCTATAAATTTATTATTATTAAAAATGTAAAGACAATACTGAAACGAGGTATAAGAATAATGGCCATTTAGTTAATGCGCTTAGGGAACAAAACGGAGGTGCAGAAGCCACATATAAATCCACAATGACGGAGAATTGAGAACATTGCGTGTTTATTGTATATGTATATTGTATATATATATATGTATTCTTTTCATCTATCAAATCCAGAAACAAAGTTTTTTCCTTTATGCGCATGACTGCTTTACACTTGAATAGATATTTATGCTTCTAATATTTTTTAAATATTTTTTGGACTTTGTTCACAGCTTAACAATGAGTGAATAGTTTTGTAGTTCTCATGCCATGGCTTGCAATGTTTATAGTCGAAGTGCGTTACTTGAGGGTTGGATTTCCATTGTGAGTCAGCGACACACGTTTGCATAATTTATTGTCAGCCTTTTTTGTGTGCATTGTTATCGTTTAATATGATAATCGATAAGCAAGCAAGTACCAACGTTGGAGGTTTGTTGGCCAAAGTATCATCTATAAGGAAAGCGAAGTTTTTTCATTACGTTTGTCTTTACTATTTTCAATACGATTTTGGCTCTTATTGGGAACGTTTGTTACTTAACTGTGCAACACATAAGACCATGATACGTTTTTCGATAAACATGGTGAAAACGGACATGTAGCTGGTACTATAATTTAATTATCTATTTTCGTTATAATATTTGTATAACCTTAGATGGCTTTTAGTAAAAAAGTTATAGCTAAGAAAATCATACTCGCTTTTGCGCGATATTTTAATAATCGCTCTACTTTCTTTTTCACATTGAGAGTAACAATTTTTCCTATGTCACTTTGGATGGCTTCTCCTCTGAGTAATAACTGGGTATGTTACATAAGTGAGTTTCGGTCCTTTATATTTTTTATGCCTTATATCATAGCTACTATAGGGTACAACTTAATATAAAGTATGTGCGGATGTATGCAACACTCTGAAGGACGAGGAAGGTAGACTCAACTTTTACTACACCGATTGATTCAGGACGTGGATCTAGGCTTGCCTGGCCGTCTGTCCGTCTTGGATTTTGTGTGCAGCCTACAAGTCGTAATTTTTGAGACATTTTGATGAAATTTTATATACCGGCACGTTTTGGCCCAAGGATGGACGTTATCGAAAATGTTTAGAAATGGAGCGCTTTTTCGACCAGGTCCTAAATGTAGCTTTATTTTCAAAAGCTATTATTTATATAACTTTATTAAACGAAAAGAGGTAGGGTATTTAATGGAGGCCCGCGTCTTGCCAAAGAGAATAAACTTAATAAACATTACAGGCGTGACGCCATTTGCATGAACTAAGCATCAAAATTTTCGTCATCCAACTTTGCGATAATATAAACTCGAATAACGGACATAGATAGGCTTCGAATTCTACCTAGAGATAAGTAAGGAGGTGTGTCAAATGCATTCCACAATCGCTTCCTTGGGTAGCGGATACAAGTCCCTTATCGAGATATGCTTTTTTTCCATCTTTTAATTGAAATGCATTTGCTTTGCAAAAGGGTAATTCAATAGACATAGACTCTCTGGACTATTTTTGCGTTTCCTCTTTAGCTTGCTTTAAAAAAGGTTTTGTAAAATGCTTGATATAACTATCTCTTACAGACTGTAAATTAATTTAGTTCACTAATGCTTTAGAGAACGAATATAAATGACAAGCGCATGTACATCAACCAATCGATTGTATTTTCTTAATTTTTCTTAATTACAACTTCCTTCGTACTATAAATTGTATGTTAAAGTTTTTTGCTAAATGAATTCACATCAAAGGTATATATATAATAAGTGTATGTAAGTTGTTTCTCACGACACGGGGCAAACATATTGTAGTAAATAATAGTGAAGCAGTTTCCATAAAAGCACATTATTTTTACATTTCATATCAAAATGGAAATTACCTCACTAAAATTTGAGCAACACGACTTCTTCTTGGCTTAACGTATGTCAAGTTAGATATCAGACAATGTTAAGAGGAATGAGGGAGGAAGAGGGAAACACTAGTTTTTCTCTAGAATTAAAAAGACTGATGACAGGGTATAAACTTCAAGGAAAGCCCCGTGAGATGAAGCCAGTTTTAGCGCTCTTTACTATGATTTGAAGCAATTCAAACCAACAGAACAACACCGCCAACAGCTGATGCAGTGACAATGCAAAGATAATTAAAGACACAGTCATAAAAATAAAAATATTATTTTGTCAGTTTGACAACGATCGAATATATAGTGGAGAGCACTAGCGGCACTGGATCAAAATGTGTCATCTTCTTCGCCTTATTCAGCATTCCTGTCTTAATTCCGATTAGCGTTTGTTTCAAGTATCAAATAGCACCAAATGGTTCCTTTGCTTTGTGAGGGAGAAGCAACCAAAAGGCGGCTAAGCATTAGCGGTACGCTGAATAATATATTGGGCCGTTCCGTGAAATCGTTCGTAACCAATTGTTGCATTTTCTTTTTTTCAATTTAGGACAATTATTCAAATTCGTTTAGTAGGGTGCAGATCAGACCGAAATCTGAACCAAAGTAAACTATCGCACATGACATTTGAACCCACGAACACTGATTAGGCAATCGCGATTCTTGTCTGGGTTCGAAAAACCATTTCTTTTGAAAAACAGAAGCCTTTTCAGCTTCTGTAGTAATAGAGGCGTGTTGTTTGCATTTAGTCCATTTTCAATGCCAATGTGTGTGTAAGGACTTCCAAAGTTTTTGCCAAATGTGAAGTCGAAAGTTTCATGTTTGCTACCTGTGGGCCTACAACTGACGTTACACAGACTTAAACTGGACTCCGAATTTGATGCTGATTAATAATATGGTCTCTTAAGGTTTCTTCTAGGCAAACGATTGGAAACCTTTTGACAAAATGAATTTACCCCCCATCCTTCGGTGATGGGCATAAGAACATTTGTAATGCTTACAGGCGCCGTGCAATGTATTGTATGACTTGTGTTGAATGTATGTATTTTACAGCACAATATTATTCAAATTATTAATAGTAAAACAAGTCATGACGACATTTTTTTCACAATAAAATATTTCGTTTTAATTTTTCAGATGTTTTCTAAATGATTTTTTCAACAAATACAAAGTCTAGAAATTTACGCTAACTTAAACTCGCCCGTCGTTGTTACTAACTCTACTTGAGGTTGCACAAAATGACGCTGATTTTCGTATTATTCCTGATTAGTTTCTTCAATTTGCTGGGTAAGTTTTTGAAAACATATTTCTAAACAATCTGCATAAAAAACATTACTAACATAGAACTACTCAGTCATATCTTCACTTCGTGCTGTTAACGTTGCGTGCTAACAACTAAGACGAATAAATAAATAAAATGATTGATTGAAATAAATAAAATACGAAAACTGAAGAGAATATTTTCCAGTAAAAATATTGAATCAATGTTGTATGCATGCTCATGTTATGGCGGTATAGTGTTTACGGTCATATCCCTGTGCCACAAATATACCCCTGTATTACATAACGCTCACATCTAGGGCACGATTGCAACAATATGTTGGAAGACATGTAAAAAAATATCCTCGGAATGAGGTATAATTGTATAAAGAACATCAAAGCTTATATATTTTTATACCGATTATGGGGAAACTTTTGCGACTCTGTAAACTAAATAAAGTGGTAATCATGTTAATCTTGCGAACAACCTTAGATATTCAGCAGTTGAACATCATTTAAATATTTGATTTGATCTTGAAAAATTTCACCTGCAAGATAAGATATTCTGATGAGGTTTGGTACACCGATATGTCCTGATTCAAGGCCAATTTTTTATATACGTTAGTTATTTATATAAATTTTTATACTCTACACGACTTGTTATGCTGGGTATCTTAAGTTTGTGCGAACGTTTGTACACACATACCCACCTTTTATTGTACTCATCGTTTCAGAATCATTTTCAGAATCATTTTCTGAATTGATCTAAGTTTGTCTATCCATGTGTGGTCCGTCCATGTATGCTTAGGCTCAGCCGACATGTCGCAATTTGTGAGGCAAACTCATGTGTTTTGGCCCAAAGGCGAGCGCTATTAATAGTGGTTTGCATAGGACGACTTTTCGGTCACTTCCCATAAAACACTTTACTTTGAAAAGTCTTTTTATGAATAGCTGTAGGGCGGTGTAGGATATGTAATGGTGGGCCCATTAAATCAATGAACGCACATAATAACTACGTGTAATGTGGGAAAGCAAGTAAAAAATAAATGGTATTTGTTAAGGACCTTTTAAAGATTTTAAAAATGCATGACATGATTGCACTCATGAAAGTGCATTTTCATGCCTTTATTTCAAATTTTTCATTCAATTAATTTTCGTTTTCCATGTCCGTCGTTGATTAAGCAAATTTTCCGAATCAATTACAATATTTTAAAAAATATTTTTATTACATTTTTTTTTTCATTATTTTACTTCTTAAGCTGCGCTCTTATTGTTATTGTTATTATTATTATTATTATTATTAATATTCAATTTGTCTTTATGTCGTAAGCAATTTGCTTCAATTTTTTACTTTGAGCCATAATTGTTGTCTTGAGCTGACATTGTTTTTGGCTCCTCTTGCGCTGGGTTTTAATTGCATAGCGTGTGCGATGCCAGTGTGACATCGGCTTTTATCGAATACTTTTTAATTTATTTCAATTGTTTTTAGAAAAAAATATATTTGCAGCGTAGGGATATATTGATTCTGTCCACTTCCAAGAATTACAACAAAAATTTCCATTAAATTTGTATAAAGTATTGTAGACGAAAGCAGAACTGTGTATTTAATATCCATTTTTTCATAACTTTTTTCGAAGGAATAACAAATCAAAACATGTCGATGCCATAGGATGTAAAGCGTTGTATGGGAATTGGTCGAAAAAGTGGTCCAGTCCGAACTCTTTTCAAGGGCCAAAATAAGTGAAAATATCGCGAAAATTATGGCCTATAGATGAAATATAACAATATGAGATAGCTGGACGGACAAATGGACAGACAAACTATGTTCGATTCAGAAAGTGATTTCGGAAAGATCGGTATAACAAAATTTGAGTCTAGCTCATGATTTCTTCTGATTTTTCACGCAAGCCTAATTGGCGCTTGTACCAAAAACACTGCCGGGTTCAACAACTCTTTCCTTGGAATTGAAATTGATGTGTACTTATTAGTAATACCTTGTTGCAATTTGCTCATTGCCAAAACGTAAGACCAGTCAGTTGGCGAATATTTGTTTAGAAGTACGCGGTTACTTATTAAGATTCGCTTTGAAATGCAACAGAAGCAAGTTTATTACGTATATTAATGAAAATTTTTCACCGAAGCCGGTTCAATTTTTCCGAAATTGTGGCTATGGCGCTTGCACGATACAAGTTTTAATTCTTTACAATCCATCGTTTATTATGTAGTAGAGTGAAAAGATAAGGATGTGAACATGCAGCACTTAAGTCAACTGGCTTTGCAAGGGTTTTGTGAGGTTGTCGCGGGTTCATTCACGCTTAGGCATGCACTCTTTATCGCCGGAAATGCTATGATGGAGATAATCGTTACTCTCATAGGAACGTAACAAAATCTAACCAGATTTCCACTCTTCGATTTTTGTCCTTTATGCGTATACTGGGTTAACGAATGGATTGGAAACTATGGTAATCTTTTGGTTCACGTTGGGAGACTATGTCAAATTTAAGCTCGTTACATTAAATGGACTGTTGTGCTCCATTATTTCACTGTCTATCAGATCTTTTTAATCCTATCAAATGAAACTCGTAATGCTTTTGGAGTAAATGTTTCCTATAATTGACTTAATATTCCGCTTCCTTTGCTTTACATTACTTTGAAGTACACTATTTTTTTCCCACTGCTTAACCTTTATAATTCTACGGTCAAGGACGGCTTCAAAAATTATGTAGCAATGAGATGTGGAGTGAAACTAGAAGGGGAAATTATTATCCCACCTCTGATAATTCAGTAGTGACCGTAGTGACGGTCAGAAAGACGTCAGAGAAGAGGGGGAAAAAACAAATAGAAAGATGGTGGCCGGGTGTGAGCCCAATCGATAAGTGTTATACCTTACCGACGGAGTACATCTAGCTGTGGCCAATTAAAACTCTACTGCACTGAAATTTGAACCCGTGGACACTGACTTAGTAGTCGTGATTCTTGGCAACTTGACAACTCATGTGGACAACTTTCTCTGTTTTTCGCACTCAGCCTGTAGACGAGATCGAATGTTGAAGGTGGAGAGTTCCACGTTTTCGTCTTCACAATTGAATCAACAAAAGATTAAAAAAACCTCCCAGAGAAACCTAAAAGTTTTCTATATCGATTCTCATATTTTCCTCCCGTATTTCCTACGCTCGCCTTCATAAGTCTCTCGGTGGCAAACGATCCTTCCATATAATATATACTCAGACTTCTTTATTGATTTTATCGGATTCACATCGCACCTAAGCATCGAATTTCTTTTCTTCTTAAAGGAAAATAATATGAACTTGTCATCATGTTATTTATCAAATTCTAATCAAATTATTTCTCTCCCTGTACGTAAAACTGGTGCGGGCGGCCTGGGCGCCTGGGCGAAATAAAATGTGATTGTCGTCATCTGCTTTTGGGACGAATTCCTTCGGCTTTCTCTTATTTGGATAATTTGTACAACCGTTTCGTTACATACATAAAGTTAAAGTGAAGGTTTGCTTTCTCGTTATTACACCTTTTCCCTACGGTAGTCGTAATGCTAGCAGTGCTATTTAGAGACTAATTTAGAGTTTAACACCAATGACCCAAGATTTTGAGTACAAGTGCTACTAACCAAAGTTTACCTTAAAGCGAAGAATAGCTTCTCTGAATACAGAAGTAATATAAACAAAAAATAAAAAAAATAAATAAATAAATAAAAATAAAAAATAAACAGTAATGAAAAACAAATATCTCTTCTGTAGGCATTAAATGCCTAACCGCAAAAATTGAAAGAATTATTAGCTTGGGTTGTTAAGCCAAACCGCAGTTACGGTTAAACATAATAAATTAAAAATTATGTAAAAATAATATAACCATTTGCTTACACACATTCACAAACGCACACACATGCACATAAACGCATATATGCAGTCTAGTGCGCATTATGCGGATGCGATATGTTTTGTGTTAAGTAAAGCAGCAAAGGCAACAACGATATGTGCAAAAGCGAAAATGCCCAAGCGCCGAATGTTTTCATAGTAAATAAAATTATTAAACAAATAAATAATAAAAACCATGATGCCAAAATATTTATGACTCTACCGGTAGACATATACTCACACTCACGCATGCAAATAATAATAAAAATAAAAATTAAAAAAAAAAAAAGAAAAAGAAAAACAGACAAGCATGGAGTTATGCACGAGCAAGGAAAATTGTTTTCATTAGCAACTAGAGTTGCTTTGCGAAACGTTCAAATCAATAAAATAGAAATTTAACTGCAAACGGGCTGACAAAGCAACCACAACTCTTAACACAAAAATAATAAATTTTTGTAAAAAATATTGAAATAAAATGTAAGGAGAAAATCAATTCAACGATAGGAGGAAAAGGGCAACTTTTTATACGCGATTCTTTATCATTCCGTTGTTCAGGGCGTATGTTATTACAAATTTTTGACGGCATATTTTAAAAACTTTTTATTGTTATCTATCAACCTATGGTAGAATAGACTTAAATAAGTGTAACTATAAAGTTAAGCTACGAGGCGAGAATCTATTGCATGCTCCCAGAGTATATCGTTCTTTTTGTCCGTTCACAAAAATTGACTATATGCGTGGTCCAGAGAATATCTTGTGTGTGTGTGACCCAATGCAAGGCTTGCATGATTTTCATAAATTGCCTGTCCCTGATAAAATGATCCCATAAATATGTCCTGCAACGAAATGTCTTCTAAAAAGCCTTCGAATGTTCTTAACGAGCTATAAATCTGTAAACTTGTATTTGTTTTTTTTTCCTTTTTTAAGTCTATCCCCTAAACATTGTACCTTTGTTTGCTTTGGAAAGTGCAAGTTATTTTCTATCAGGAAGCGAGAGGACAAAACTTTAAACTAAAAAAATAGAACTTTCCAAGTCTGGGAGATCCATAGGAAAGCAGGTCTGAATTGAATCTAAGCATATACCATTAGGCTGTAAAGCAAAGTCTAGTCGCTTGTTGGCTTACAATGCATTAAAGTCGCATTTATGTAAGCTAC